CCCCCACTTTTTCTCAAGCACCATTTTCAACGTTTCGTATACCAAACAGCTAATGGACCATCGTACTTTCATACTGTCATGGACTTTCGTATACGGTTGTAGAACTTGGTGATACTACAATTCCGAGAATTATTCCACCAACGCTGCCAGGCTGGCCTGGAAATAAATTGTCTATCCCGTTGGAAATTAGACGGAGATTTGAGCGAGAACAAAACAGAAATATTCTCAGGACACATCGCACAATGTTGTTGATGATAATGACCAAAAGCAATACCGGTAAAAGCAGTGCGTACCCGGTCACAATTATTGCAAGTTTAATGAAGAAGTTTTTTACTAAAGGTGACATAGTTGCTCAGTGCGAAGTGTTAAACTGGAGAGCTTCACGCTGACTAAATAAATGTCTTTTTCTTGAGAAAAGACGACAAAAAGCTTGTTCGTATGATATATCACAATTAAGGTGAAACAGGTTTTTACACAATGGATTCCAAGTAATCACTTTCCGCTTACTTAATTATACATACGTACAAGTTACCGATTTTTAGCTAAAATCAAGACCTGCTGAAATCACTCCTGTTCGTCCGTCTGAAGCAAGGTACCCCAAAATAAGGGTATTCAAATTTGTCAGAACACATGCATTACTAAGTTCGAATAAAAATAAATATGAATTTACGTTACGTACTTAGGAGGGGAACCTCACTAGTTGCCACCCACAGATCTCGATGCCCTTTGGATATGTTGGAGCACCCCATGAGTGAACAACAACCCCCAAGTGGTTTGATGCCATGGTCACATTTGCCATGGTCACATGAAACTTTGACATGGCCACAGCCCCAAAGTTCCCGAAATGAAACTTAGACTTGGTCACACCCCCAATGTTTCCAAAACCAAATTTTGACTTGATGACACGCCCAAAGTTCCCAAAATGAAACTTTTATTTGGTCACACCCCCAATGTTTCCAAAACGAAATTTTGACCTGGTTACATCCCCAATGTCTCCAAAACCAAATTTTGACTTGATGATACCTCCAAAGTTTCCAAAATGAAATTTTCACCCCAAAGTTTCCTAAAAGAAATTTTTACCCCCAAACGTTTCTAAAATGAAATCTTTACTTGGTCACACCCCAAAGTTTCCAAAATTAAATTTTGACTTGGTTACACCCCCAATGTTTCCAAAATGAAATTTTTACTTGGTCACACCCCAAATGTTTCCAAAATGAAATTTTGACTTGGTTGCACCCCAAACTTGGAATTGTTTTCTAACTTCAATAACCCTTCTTCGGTAACCCTATCCCAGGGGAACACACCCTCCCACTCCCCCCAGCAGAGCGGTAACCCTATCCCAGGGGGGCACACCCTCCCACTTCCCCCAGCAGAGCGGTAACCCTATCCCAGGGGGGCACACCCTCCCACTTCCCCCAGCAGAGCGGTAACCCTATCCCAGGGGAACACACCCTCCCACTCCCCCCAGCAGAGCGGTAACCCTATCCCAGGGGGGCACACCCTCCCACTTCCCCCAGCAGAGCGGTAACCCTATCCCAGGGGAACACACCCTCCCACTCCCCCCAGCAGAGCGGTAACCCTATCCCAGGGGGGCACACCCTCCCACTTCCCCCAGCAGAGCGGTAACCCTATCCCAGGGGGGCACACCCTCCCACTCCCCCCAGCAGAGCGATAACCAGAGCCAAAATGGATACAACCAATTATTCCCCCCAGCAGAGCGATAACCACACTTAATTGTTTCCGTTAACTTCCCTTCCTGATAAGCTAACCAGCAAATCCTGGATAAATGACTTATCAACTTTCCAAAACAGTTGATATGCAAATCACTTTCTCCACTTTCACTTCCGTCACGGAAAATTACTTTCACTTCCGTTGCCAACAAACATTTCCAGCTTATAATATAGATGGAACAATAAGCGCACGACTAATTTACGTGGCGAGCGGCACGTAGCAGAAGATAAAATGTGTCCTTTTTAATTTTGCAACTGGATTATAATAAGGGTATTCATGACTGTTTCTGGTCCCTACAATGAATAGGTGTGAGGAGGTTCTCGACCAGATTAAACCGCACTCATTTAAATTGCTCACTCACAAAAATTGGAGGACACTCAGTTTGGAATTTTCTAGCTTGTGCATGTTTTCGCCCAGGGCGAAATTTGTAAAATCTGTTTCAGCCTAAATCACGATTTTTCAATTCTTATTGAATTTTAACCATATTTCAGAAATTAAACAATATGTATGCTCAAGATTATTGGAAATTGCAAAAACTTGTTACCTAAAAAAGTTAAACTTTGGTATTTGTTTACTACATACTTATTCCTGAATTTAAAAAACGCAAAAACAATAGATTTTTTAACGTTAAAAATCTATTCCAGTGGAATTTTAATCATTTAATGCAATTGTAAAAAAAACATGAATAATTGTTGAAGTTGGATAAAATTTGAAAAGTTCCGGCGTTTTTAAAAATAGGTTATAAAGGTTACGAGATTTTGTAAGCATCTTTAGATTTAGTCATAAAAATACTGTTACTATGTTTAGCATATTTGGTCACAAACTATTCGATTTGACGAATTAACGATACTAATGATACAAAAGTAATTTTGAATACCCTCAATTGCAATATGTGTCATGATGCCGTCATTGATTCTGATTTATATGGTCGTCACTAATTGATTTACACTAGTAAACGTCATAAGTACGTCAATGTTGTAAGAAATTTTAACAACACAGAGCTAGTGGTCTCAACGGTTCTCGGTTCTCATAGAACCGAACCGGAACCGATGGCTCGGTTCGGTTCCGGTTTATACGGAGAACCAAACCGAACCGAAACTTTTATTACCGGTTCGGTTCCGGTTCCAAGTCTTTGAGAACCGAACCGAACCGGCCGGTTCGGGTTGAACCGAACTTTATACATAAATACATTAGCGAAGTTAATCATATTTTCGAAAAAGTTTTACGAATTTCCCGAAATACACATAGTTTCCAAAATGAAATTTTGACGTGGCCACACCCCCAAAGTTCCCGAAATGAAACTTTGACTTGGTCACACCCCCAATGTTTCCAAAACCAAATTTGACTTGATGACACGCCCAAAGTTCCCAAAATGAAACTTTTATTTGGTCACACCCCCAATGTTTCCAAAACGAAATTTTGACCTGGTTACATCCCCAATGTTTCCAAAACCAAATTTTGACTTGATGATACCTCCAAAGTTTCCAAAATGAAATTTTCACCCCCAAAGTTTCCTAAAAGAAATTTTTACCCCCAAAAGTTTCTAAAATGAAATTTTTACTTGGTCACACCCCAAAGTTTCCAAAATGAAATTTTGACTTGGTTACACCCCCAATGTTTCCAAAATGAAATTTTTACTTGGTCACACCCCAAATGTTTCCAAAATGAAATTTTTACTTGATGACACCTTCAAAGTTTCCAAAATGAAATTTTCACCCCAAAGTTTCCTAAAAGAAATTTTTACCCCCAAAAGTTTCTAAAATGAAATTTTTACTTGGTCACACCCCAAAGTTTCCAAAATGAAATTTTGACTTGGTTACACCCCCAATGTTTCCAAAATGAGATTTTGACTTGGTTACACCCCCAATGTTTCCAAAATGAGATTTTGACTTGGTTGCACCCCAAACTTGGAATTGTTTTCTAACTTCAATAATACATGCATAAGTGGTTTTGCTGTTGACATGTATTAGAATTTGCTTGTTTAAATACAGATAAGTTATTGGCTTATATGTGAAATTTCATCAGAAACATGTCAATTAGCATTGTTTGTTGTTTATTGCATATTAATAACACTACCGGTTTGACCCGAACCGCCGGTTCGGTCACGGTTTGGTCCGGTTCCGGTTCGGTTCCAACTAAAAAAAGTTCGGTTCTGTTTCGGTTCTTCAATTCTGGTTCTCGGTTCTAAACCGGTTCTTCCAAGAACCGAACCGAACCGCACCGTTGAGACCACTACTTAGAACATCTACTTTATGAGCAAAAAGGAGGGGTTAAGCTGGATAGAAATCTTTACCCTCGTAATGAAATTTTTCCAGACAAAATTCAGCAACCGTCCAAACCTATTTTAATAAAAAGGTCCTATCTCTTCGAGTTTTAACCGAATTATAAAAATTAAACATTTTGACTGAAAATTACATTGAGTAATTACAAAAATTATACTCTAAGAAATCTGTAATTTTCAAAAATTTATGGTTCTTGCGGTTTTTCGCAAGTAACCTGCTAATTTCATTTTTTTAGAAATGCATGATTGCAATTTCAGTGCAAAGTAAGTTTCAGCATACATATTTTACAATTTCTGAAATCTGCTAGAATTGAATCCATTTTGAAAAGTCCAGATTTTGACCTTAAATGTGTTTAAAACTTCATCCAAAAGAGATAATATGCACACTTTAGTAATCCGAAAAATGGGGATGCCTGAATTTTGGTGCGTGAACAACTCAAAATGTCAAATCGCCCAAAACCAACTCATACCTCTGCATTGTATTAATGCGAAATAATCATGAATACCTCCATTATATCCGGCTGCAAAATACAAAAGTAAAAAGTAAAAATTTAATCTTCTGCTACGTGCTGATCATCTCGTACATAAGTCATAATTACATATTGTCCAGTATGGTGAATCCTGCTGATGTAATAACCGTGTTTCGTAAGATCTTGACGTACGTAATTGATAACTATAAGGTCTGCCACCATGTTAAGTTTTACATAATAAATTGCGATTCTTGTTTCGCAAATCCTTGACGTATTAATAATGTCAACACGATATAAATTCTGGGGCTACAAACTGGTGATACTCTTACATCATAAATTGGTATTTTTGTCTGGAAAATCCGGTAAGGTCCATATGATGTCATTATAACTCGATGTTCAATCGATCAATTCTGTCTTACGTCACAAATTGTTTTTTTCTTGCACAAATTTTTGACGTAGTTGATAACTTCAAAACCATATAAATTCTGGCCCGAAGTTAAGTCTTACATGATAAACTGAGCGACAGAAGTTACAGTTACAGTTAAACAGAAGTTTGGACTCGTTTGGAAAATTTTACTTTCAAAAATGGCATCTTACTTTACTGCTGCTGTATTAATTTTGGCAAGTATGGCGTTGGTTTTTGGGCGACCATCCGAAAAAGAGGAGCTCTTTACAGGGACCGTTATCATTCGATCCGTACAGGGTGGATTGGTAAATTAATTTCTGGTCAAAATTTTGTTAAAATTAAGTTAAGCACTAATATATTCATTTTTTAATTTCCTCTACATAGATCCTGCAGTCCCTCGGTAGTGGGGAGCACTGCGTGGGGGCAGGTCATGTGGTGGCTTCGAAATCTGTGGAAAATGCCAAGTCTGCCCAGTGGATGTACCGAATGTGGGGTAATAAAGTTTAGTTTGACCATTATTTGTCAACCGTTGTATTTAACTCACCTTCTTCCTTGTTTGTATGTAGGTTTATCTGCATCTTTTCATATCATTGGGGGTGATTTGAACGAGTTCAGCTTCCATCCCAGAGGCCTGTTTTGCTATCCGCCAGGTCGAACCGTTAATTTGGTGAAGCACGATAAGGGGACCATTTCCTTCCAAGATTTTGACGGAACTTGTTTAACCAATAATGGGTAGGTGACAGAATAATTTGCAAAAATACTTAAATGATGTGTGCAAGCAAGGAAAGTCCTCATTAATCTGGTCACGATTTAAATAGAAATGGTGAGCGGATCAGTTGGACCTCGTGTAATGGGAATTCTCCAAGTCAACGGTGGACCATGGAGGAGATTCTGGAGTAATGCGAACACATCCGGTTGATAAACAATTATGACACGGCTTACGATTTTACTCTTACTGACATTGTCCAATTATCTATTTCGATTCTTCTAATATTCAAAGTAGTGTGTAGACATATATTCCATGGATAATAAATAAGCATAATAAAATGAAAAAAATCATCTATAAAATGCGTACCTTGTTAATAGTGAAAGGTTCATAGTTGTCGCATATCATGGATAATGGAAGCACTCATGAAAACTTCTTCAGCATCGTAACTCATTTCACAAATTTGTGTGCATAGCTCGTAAAATTTAAGTCGTCGAGGATTCACAAAACTTGATTTCACAAATCTACATATATACTTATAAAAACTAATAATTCTGTAATATCTCTAGCTAACGTTTTTGAGGATGAGTGTACGAAATAATTTTGAAAATAAAAACACGACCAGTCGTTACGTAAATTTTTGAAAAAATCATATATCTGTACATAGTTTTAGGCATAATTTTAATTGAAGTTAACTAATTACGTACGGATTACGTACAAGTAATTACGTACAAGTTTTACTCTACATATAATCTAACACTAATTACTAGTGATGCCGTGTAGTAGAAAATCGCCGCAAAAAAATCAGTCCTAGTATTTTGATCCATAAAATAAAATGGTCCAACGAACGCTCTAATTGGACCGTAACTATTAACCTCCTTCGTCCAAATCACTTTTCTTTTTGACGCTTCCAATTTCCACAGCCTCACTAATCCCTTCGAGTTCACGTTTAAATATGCCATTATTGGGAAAATGAAGTGCGGCACGCCCCCCAACACGACCACCAAGCTGGTCCCCATTACCGTCATCGGGATCGGGATGAAGTAATAGAACTTAATTATCAAACAGCTCAGCGTGATGCAGCATAAAAATAGGATCAATTTTGCAACGGGCAAAATGTAGTAGATAACCTGGTTCGAAATTATGGAACCGATTTGTAGTTGGCGATAGATTTTCAAGTGGTGTCGAAAACTGACCGTTTTGCGAAATATATTTTTCGAACACATTCTGTTAACTTTCTGACTTTGTATTAGCAAGGATTTCAGACACGATTTAAATGCTATTAACCAGTTAGCCCCCAGTATCAATGTGCCCAGAAGGGATGGAGTAGAGTGGTAAATATGAATGTCATTCGTACCAAGAGGGTGAAATATTTGGGGAAAATGGTCAGATTTCTGAATAAAGAGTAGGATGGGTCGATACCCTCTTGCAGGAGAGGGAGCAGCGTGGCAAGAACTGGTATGAATAGAATTGGAGGAATCATTAAATGGAGAAACAGCCCCATCGGATGTATAGTTTGGACCAGTTTTTCTGAAAAAGTGGAACCATTTTGAAACGTTTGCATACATGTAAATAATATCCAATCTTTTTTCAATTGATTGAAGCATAACATTTTTGCTGATGTGGGATAATTAGGATTTACTCCGTTTTTCCGAAAGTTTAATGAAACAAGTTTTGCAATTTAGGGGCTATATGATCGCTATGTTGAGGGTTTTCATGTCACTTTCGTAACTGTGTGGTAAACGTCGTATGTAGCATAGATTTACAGATGCATGAAAATTAAATTCTTCGCAAAAACATACATATTTACATATGTACTTACTCTAGGTTTTTGCGTCGTTTTCGCAAAAAAATATGTATTTCTATGGTAAATCAAGCCCAATGGTTACCGATCGATACTACTGGGCAAACACAAATGGTGAATTTTTTTAAACATTTACCAAAGTTTTGTTTGTGAAGGTCTTTCACATCAAAACATTTTAAATTGATGACACAAAACCCAAAGTTGCGAAAGTCGTGAAACCCCCATTATCTTACCCCAAACGTTGAATAATATGTATAAACCCCAATAAAACCTGGGATTTTTCCTGACTCTGGATACTACGATTTTGCCCAAAACATCAAAAAGTCTTACCCGATCCAGTATCCACCTTGTTCCTTAGAATTTCGGAATTTATATAAAGAACGCAAATTTCATCGGTTTTATAGATATTCGTTAGTATCATGGTGATCGACACGGTATTCATACAACAATATAAGACCAGCAATATTCCAACTGTTACGCAAACATCTGTACTCCGTCGATTCCAAAGAATCAATTTCGCCAAGTTGTAGAACATGAGGGACGTCCACATCACGAGTGTGACGGACATTGTGAAGAAGGGGACCAATTTCTTGAACGGGGTGCATAGTGGCAGCCAGGTTTTAGTGTTCCACGTTATACACTGCGAATATAGGGCGGAACTGAGCAGTGTGAAACGCTGGTGAGCTTGAAATGGGGTGTGTGAAGGGATAACAAAGTTTAAAAAAATATGGGAAAAATAGCTTCTTAAGGACTTTAAGGGGTTAAAATGACGTGGCAACTTATAAGAGAAATTTGTAATATGAAGTGCTATTCTAAAGGCTTTAGGTTGAAGAAACTTAACTAACGAAGGTTATGATGGCATTCCCCCCAATCGAAACAGTTGGTTGCCAGTGGGTGTTCTAGGTTGGGGAAAACGGAGGTTGGCCGGCCCTGGCGGGAGATGAAGTAAATGAAATCGGGGTGAATTTTATTTCCTGTTACATATTTATATTTGTAAATTAGTCAACATTTATGGTGTATGAATGAAGCATATAAATAAGTATGCACTTAATTAGTCCTGACATAAGTACATAAGGGCACACGTTACTAAATACACACATTTCTATCAGTATACAACTTTCGTAACATGAGCACCTTCCAGAACTACGCGACTGAAATGTATTCTATCAAATAATATACCTCAAAAACAAACAGTATATATAAGATCGACTTAAATGAATGACTGTGGCCTGGTAAAGCCGAATATTTGAATTATTTAAAAGCCATGAGCTTGGTACTGGAGACGCATACATACATATTCACTTTCCTTGTAGAAATTAAATATTTAAATATTTTCTATACCTTTCTACAGATACAATATCCCGAAACCTTACTAAATAATTGAAAAATTTTATTAACCAATTTTCTATTTTGGAACGCCTTGCAGTCAAACATATGTACATCCTCCGGGCTGGAACTCTAGCTTAAAAACAAAACCCTCATTATAGGATCAAATTTGGAGGTTAAAAATTTGTAAATATTATTCTATCATACAAATGTAATATAATACAATACAATATTTATATAATTCCATGCTCTGTTTTAATGAGTGAGAGGAAATAAACCTACCTTAAAAGCTAACGCTTTCCCCATTTTAATCGGTCTGTTACAATCTTTAAACTTTTTACGCAGCACTCATTCGCAAACAGAACAAGTGCTGAAAAACTGAGCCCAAGATAAATTACGAATGCAGACAATAAATTTGACGACAAGACACCTGTCCCTCCTTCAAAAATTATTCCATTCTCTTCATAATCTTTGAAAAGCTTTGGCGAACGGAATCTATCATACAAATTTTTCCAGTAATTATAAATCCCTGAAGAAATAATTATTTCCAGCTTTTCATGAATTCCCTTAAATAATCTGGTGTCCATATAGACAGCTCTGAAATACCAGCCAATATAATTTAAACGTAGATGTTCCGTTCCTTTGTTAAATATTGTGGTTTTCTTTTCATTCACATATTCAAGTACTCTTTTAACGTTTTCCGTTGTATCGATGTAAGCTCTCTTTTTACAGTTCTCCTTTGTCAAATTACCCCAAAAGTGAGAAGGGCGATGATAAGATAAAGGTCTTAGGAGGGTATTAATGTGGCTTGATTCATCATAGCTGGCTAGAATGTTGTTGGCAAATTCCGAAATTTCTGGAACTTTGGAACGTAACAGGGTCATAATAACCTCAAAAAATTGGGGTAGCATCTTCACACCTTCAATACTATCGTACAAAGATAAAAAGCTTATTTCCTGCTTAATTGGAGCGTAAATCGTGAAATTTTCAAGGTCCTTGAACTCTCTATAGATAGCTGTAGCTTTAATCGGCAATGTAATTTCTGAGGTGAAAAACGATTTGTAAAAGTTTGACAAAAGTAGTCCTCCCAGTGACCACAAAATTAGCAAGAACTTTAGCTTGCAATGTTTCTGAAGCCAAAATCTCTCTAAGAACTCGATCGGTCGTTCCGTTAGAACGAAGGAGAGTACCATAATATAGAAAACGATGTCTATACATCTAACCGCCAGAAATATTCCTGTCAGAAACGTAATAATCAAAGCAATTAAGGTCCAACTCCATATATCAAAAGGACTGGCATAAAAGGCATAACTTAGCGATAAATTTATTCCATCGCATGTTAAAAAGCTGTATTCTTCTTGTCCCACTATTGTAGTCATTGCGTGCCAGTCGCTACTTAAATACTGCTTGATTGATTTTAGAGTCACAAAATTTAAAACAACAACATCAATATCTGGGACAAAGTTGGTGGTATTTGCAGAATGAAAGATTGCCTCCATAATTACATAATCCATTAATAGACTCAACGATGGAAAAGTGCTTAGAGTGGTGTTAACTGTTAGATGAAAGTTGTCTTGGTTGGACAAGATAGCGAGATATTGTTTAATTTTAAAAAAAGATACATAGTTCTTTGTTATCCTAAATTTTTTCTTAATCAGTGATAACAACAGCTTTGGTCTTAGCAATGTTTTAACTGCGGAAGCTTCAATTTCCAAAAAGTATTGTAGCAGATTTAATTTATGATTTTGATTTGGGTTCAACTTTTGTAAGGAAACTGGAATAAGTGGATTGTTTATGCAAAAGACGCACCAAAATGATATCTGAATGGTTTCTTTAAAATTAGAGTTGTTATATAGCTCAAATAGTGACAAATCTACAAAAATGAATAGAAAATAAAGTTTTTAATTAAAATACAAACACTGAAGTATTTAATTACTTATTGTTAGTATAAATATTCGTACCTTGAGGAGGAGTTTTTATTAAAATTGTTTTAGGCAAGTAAGAAGATGTGTCCATTGTGAGAGGTAGATTCCAAAGAGACTTGCTCCCTTCTTCAAATTCTACTTTACTCGAAGTCACAATCACAACAAATTTAAGTCTGCTCGGGATCAGATCAAATTCAAGCTTTAAATCAGAATAAAGCTTTTCAGCGTAATACATAACGCAGATTTCGGAACCGTATAGTCCCAGACGAATTCCCAAAGCCCAACTTGGGAATGCATTAGAGACTGGATAGTCGTAAATTTTCGATTTTACTACAATAGCGTTATTTACAAAATTTTGTAGTGGGATAACTTCTTCATTTTTTGAAACCTCCACGATGTGATAACAGGGTCCAAATATTTGTTGGACATTTCTAATGTCAATAGTCAAACAAAAATTAAATAGAAAAAAAGTTAGGAAAATAGCTTTTAAAATTATCATTATATTCTTACAAATTTTCAGTGAGGGGGCAAAAACTGGACTGAGCGGACATTGTTTTTTACATTTAGTAAATATGTAAATTCATATAGGTCTATGTGAGCTACATTATGTACCATACATATATTTATAAGAGGTTTAAGTTTCTTCAAATGGAGTGAAAATGCTTTTGACAATGACAGATGGTCTCCTTATCATTTTACTCCACTCTAATGCTATTTTCTACTTTGACAAAATGACATAACAACGTGTGTATGTATATATATACACAATTATGTAAAACTATTTCAAACTAGCGATTAAGCCTGTCGCAGATCCACGGTTGACATTAACCAGTCTTAGAGCAGGTCAGACCTGCAGAATGATAATTAATATTGAATCAAACGTGATACGTATGATTCATACGGTATGAACGTACATTCGCTGATTGTGTGATACAATTGTTATCTTCTGAATCTTGGGGTAAGAAGTGTCGGTAAAATTTTTATACTAAAATTGAACAAGGTATGTACTGTGCGGGTGGAGCTTAGCTCGTGAAAAACCAAGTGTTGCGCCTCACTTAACTGAGGAGAACTGAGGCGCAACACTGGGTTTTGACGAGCTAAGCTCCACCCGCACAGTACATACCTTGTTCAATTTTAGTATAATACCAGAGCGTTGATATTCGAGGCTGAGTAGGATTTACCCTATAAAAGAAGTAGACCTCTTCGGTGTCAAATTGTTACCCAAGCAGAAGAACTGCATATGTGTCCCTCTGTCGGTAACGGTATCGTATAAAATTATTAAGACTCCAATTTATGCGAACTTGAAGGCATTATATGTCTGACTTTGCGCTTATTATTCCCACTTAAGACTGCCAATCAAACTTTTCCAGCTCTGTATTTATATAAAAATTTCTGTCCCAACTTTTCCAGAAGCTATTTCTATTTATTTCCATCTCATTTGATACAATAACACTTCAATTCTGTCCCACACATACTTTCGACGCATTTATTTATACTATAGATTCTAACGATTGCAAATGATTGGCAGAACTGAATATTAAGAATTGAAGTTGGGAACAAATACATTTGGCTGATAGATTAGCAGAAAATATTTTTTGGCTTGTGCATACCTCATTTTCCATTGACACTTCTAAACGTGCAAAAAACACTGTTATGAATTTTAAATGAGTACATACATAAATATTTTTTGTATGGATAGATGCATTTATTTCTCGCATAGCAGGTCGACAAATGTATGTATTTGTAAACATAAATATATATACGTATACATATGTATGTTAGGTAGCTAACCGCGTAGAATATTAGGTATATATTTAAATATTTAGTACACTAGACGTACATAAATCTGACAAAATTTTCACAACTATCTATGTACACCCATAATTACAGGTGCACATCTCTAATACTTCGGAAGGCTTTGCTTTCTCTTTCACGCTCAAACCTATGAAAGTGTTAACTTTTCCACGTCATTGACCAAGGAATCCCACGGACACGCCAAAAGTTCTGGCATTCGACGCATAAAAGCTTTTTCGATGCCGACATGAGGCCCTGACTCAAAATAATCTTGTTTAATTCCAAATTCACCCGTTACATTGGCGAAAGTGTGAATTAAAGAAGGCTGCGTGCCTTTTTGCGATGCTGTCGGTACTTCTGATTTTGATTTCGCTACCTGTGGTTTTTCAAGTGAATTTACATGTTTTTTGCAACATTCCTTTTGCGCTGCGAGTTGATTTATGGGGGTTAAAGGATCCTTAAAATATTCACGACTCGCATTATTCTCATTTTGTGAACTTTTCTTTTTAAGTTTGTGCAAATGTTGGTGCATTTTATCGACTTGGTCGTCGGTCATGTTGAGCGGGACACCCTGGTGGAGGAGGCTGATTTCCGTCATTTCAGCGAGTTGGGATAGCATCTGTGTAAATTAAGTCAAAATTAAATCAAAGTCTATATAATCTTTTATTATTAGGTAAAAATTCTTGAGTTCTACGAGAAAATAATCTTGTGTAATGTATTTTCATATTCTCACTTAAACTAGAAAATTTAACTGCTTATGCATAACAAATTGCTAATGACACTATTAAATTCTTGATAAATATTTCCACTAATTATGAAAATTGCGCATTTATAAAATTCGCGTTATAACGATTCCTCATTTTACAAAAATTAAACCTTCATTACTTTACGTGGAGTACAAGTTTTATCAGACTAAAATTACATTTGGTGTGTCAAAAATCTTGTAAAATTTTTCAACACTGGAAATATATCTCTTTTATTTATGTAACTCACCCTCGGAAATAGTAATCTTCCATTCTCGTTTCCCTGCGTCGATTTTAAATACTTTTCCAGTAATCCGGCATAAAGCTCTTGTGCCGAATTAATAGCTTGTCTATCGTCAAAATCTGTGCAGCTCTCATTTCCACCCGAGTCGGAGAACAATGCGAGAGGGAGGAGCAACATAAGGCTGTCCTCGTCGGGGGCAATGCTTCGAATTCTCTTGTACAAGGTGATATAGGGTGCCGTGATATAGTCTGGAAACACGGATATAAATTCGTCCTCCTAAACATAAGAAAATTTATTTTTTAACATGTTTATTTTTAAAAAATGGTGTATTTACTAAAGTTAGATACACTTAAAAAGAAGAGTCGTGGAATATTAAATTGAGGGGTCGTTCATAAATATCCCCAACGGGGATCTCTTCTAATGATAAAAACTTGTATTAAAGTTATTGGACGATGTGATTGTTTTAATAACGCAGATAGATTTAATCCAAACTTTCGATACACATTTGTATCATCTTCATGGAAAAATTTTAGAGATCGCAAAAATACAATTGATTTCGCTCAAAATAGTTATCACAAATTATTTGTGTTCTTCAAAAACGGTATCGTTGTCAGGTGTCACTTTGATATTGAACATCCCTCGTACATATGTAGTTACTGTACTTTTACAAGTAGGAGTTCTTAACTTAACGTCACTTACAGTGATGACTGGACACTTTTCGACAAATTGTTCTCCTCCGAAAAATCGGTTCTCAATATCATACGCCATCAAATCTCTGAGAAGGACCATTTCCATTACAGATCGCTTTAATAAATTTGTTTGATCATGCAAACTAAGTTTTGCAAATTCGGGCAACATCCTTGCAAAACAAACGAACCTGTGAGCAGCCATAAAATAATAATTATTTTTAGTCAAATTTTGTTAATTAAGATTATTACTATAAACCTTCTTATTCCTGTCGACAATGTGCCAATCATGATTAAATGAATTTTCGAAATCGTCAAAACTTCATCAACTTCTCGGGTAAGCAAAGTGTAAGGAATTAGTTCGCACGCAGTTTTATAAAATTTTGATATATTTGCAATTTTCTCAGAATCTGCATCACTCAACTTGATACCTTCTGTGGAACCAGGTTTTAACGTCTTTTCATATTCCGCCATGACCCAAGCGGGGTCCATTCCAATTTTTATGCATTTCAGGAATCGACACGTTTTGCACTTCTTTCTTGAAAATTTGTCAATTTTACATTTTCCTTTATATTTGCAGTTCTTCTTCAGACTCTTTGTGCACAAGTTATCTTTTAAATTGGTTAAGATATAGTAGCGGAAAAAGGTCCGACAACAGTTGCAAGAAATCCCTCCAAAATTATGAGATCGTGCTTTTTCCCCGCATACGTGGCATTCCTAAAATTATGTGCAATACATTTCAGTTTTTGAAACTCACTTGCATACGTAATTTGATATTAATTAAATTACCAAATTATTTTTTATGGGTCGTTTAACCAATTTTGGCCACTTATCCTGAGCAAATGTTTTAGGTTTTCCACGCGAAATAGGAACCGTTTTTCGTTTTGACTTCCTCATTTTGATTAAGTAAATTATTATTTCATTTAATTTGAAGAAAGTTTAATTTTGTACTTAAACAAGTAAAATAATTAATTTAAATTATTGTAATTACATTTTGCACGATTCAAAGTATGGGTTTCAAATCCACAAGTTACAAGTATTTATTCATAAATTTTAGTTAATCATATGCAAATATGCAAAAAAATTGCACATCTAGTATGTATGTACATGCTAATTCACTATAGATTTTCTACTTAGTTTTTTGTACATATATGTATAGTAATTTGTATATCCAAGTTTTGTGAATATTTCAAAGCATGACCAATTTTATTAAAGTACACCTCACTTGTCGCCACTTTGTTCAACTTCATTCCCATTGCGTTATTAATTTCCACTCTCAATTTGCTTGGCCTTGACGCCCAGCTGAGGTTTAGGTTGAAACAAATATATCAAATAAATTGGAAACCATACATGTGTTAAATATTATGACACAGAAAAGTATTTAGTTCAGAAATTACTTGTAGATATGAAATTATTATTGTAGCAAAGGTTTCGTGCATTTGTAGATTTTATCACTTGTTAAAGCTGTCCAAATAGTAACAAAAACTTGACATGAAGCAAATACTTGTAATGTTTGACTTTTAGAGTTTTTATTGTGTATTGCAAATATGCGTATAAAATATTTAGTATACAGTTTTATATTTTTTTACGATCTAATGTGTCCCGTATATTTAAATCAGCACCTTACATTACGTACTTATACATACTCTCACTCCTTCACAAACTATCTACATACATACAAAGTGAATGTTTTTTGTACATATGTATGTAGATGACTGATGTGATGAAACAAGATACAGTATTTATTATGTAGCAAAGTACATATTTACCTACAAAGGATTCAATTTAGCACAGTAACATACCTAAATATGTACGCTGTTGAGCTGTGTATGCACAAGTGTCCATGTATGTATGTACGTAAATGATTGTGTGTCTGTATTAAAGAAGACAACCATATAGATATACGTAGTATGCCTGGATAATTCAGCAAGATAAAACTTCGATCATCTCAACAAGGCAGATCATAACGTGGAGATGAAGGCCGGCAAACAATTCCCATACGATACACAAATTTGCACATACAGTACCTAAATATGCACATATGCATTGAATAAATCAATTTCATAGGTAACAACGCATTAAACTAGAGTTATGTACATAACTCTAGTTTAAGCACAATTTAACATTAATGTAAGGGATGTGTGACTGTAAAATAGCCCCCCCTGCCTCCGGGACAAAAATTAGCTGTGGTTGCAAAATATATATAATGCATAAAGAACATTTCACATTTCTAATTAAAGATGTGCTAAAATAAATTACAGAATATACGTATCCAACTATAACTAAGCGTTAGAACCAACAAAATCTAAGAGTGGAATGTAAGAAATGTAAGAAAAGTATTTAAATAATTTTCTCAATCATGCAGACAAGGAAATACAATGATGGCAAGTTAACGGTCCATTGGATGCAGGGTTTTGAACTTAAATTGTTGTGTCTCAACTTTGTATGCGATTTTGAAACCTATGCGTCTCCGTGTGTTTTTAGAAATATGTATGAAGATGAACCTAAAAATCGATAATTTTTAAGCTTACAAAGTTACGAGTGTAGAATTTTGATTCTTGTGTTCAATGAGAAATTATTTAGTTTTTACCTATTATTTTCCATCTATTTTATATATTTTTTCTCATGAAAAAAAATCAAAATTCTTCACTCGTGATTTTGTAAACCTAAAAATCGATAATTTTGATGTGCATTAAAATCTTCATATTGTTAAAAACACACGGAGATGAATGGGTTTCAAGATCACCATTTGAATATATTAAAGAACGGAAAGTTAAGACAACAAAACCCCGCATATAATGGCACCTTAACCAATGTACTATGCAAGTTTGCCTCCATGTGAGTTTCCCTATGTCATAATTGTGGTGCATAATCTCGAAAGCTCTAAACTGTCGAGCGAAATAAGTTGTAAGGTGGCTGTCTCCAAATTCAAATTATCAGGTCTTCTTGATGACCTTATTCCACTATCGATTAATCTATTTTGTGTTAACATTATCACCCATTCCTCGATTACTACGTCGTACATTAATTCTACCCCGAATTTCCTTGTGGCGCCTGCATTTCTGCACAATTTTAACAAATCGTTCATACATTAACCTAGCCTTCTTCGCGATATTTGCCCTATTGTATTTCGTATACTCGATGACCGCCAGGCAAAAACAGGCTGCTAGACACGTGACCAGTAGAATGAAAACGGTTTGAATATTGTCGCCCAGCCTGACCACCTGAAATGAAGTGGCTGCAGAGCGAAATTTTTCGTGCCTTTCCAATTTGGCTTGCCTTTCAGCAAGAATCGTTGCGTTCAGACTAAACTGACGAGACACTTGGTTGTAAATTCCTGAACTCAAAAATAATTTTAGATATTGCAGCCAGGGTACACTACCCCGGGTTTTTGTGGGTTGGGGTTTTTGGGGTTTTTGTGGGTTTTTGGGGTATCAAATCTCCGGAAAAACCCCAATGCTTAATGGGGTTTTTGCGGGTTTTTGTGGGTTTTTGTGGGTTTTTCCGGGGTTTTTCTGTAAACTCACGTGAGACTAAATACTGCACTTGTTTATGCGGCTTTGTTAACGAATGTCTCCACACTGAATGCAACTCACAATGGGAAGAATTAACTGAAGTCGTATTTTCTATATTTCCAACTTGTTCCTGTAAATTTTGCACTAGATTACGTTTTCGAAAATGGGCAGGAAGCGAAAAGTAAACACACGTTGTAATGATAAGTTAACAAATTCTCAAATCTTGGACGAACTGTTTAATGGTATGTGGCCACATTTAAAACATTTTTAAAGAAATTTAGCTAATATTTTAATACTCAGACTCCAGCCCCGATGAAAATAATACTGATTCTCGCAGCAAAGTGACAGACGAACCTATTGTTTTGTCTTTAGTAAATTCAGGTATAAATATAATATTTTATATATCGTCATGATTATTTAAAAATTCCTAATTTTTAGATATCAATTCACATGGAACTGAAGGATATATTTTAGAAACCATTTTAGAAACAAGACCAGAAGGTATAATTACATACGATGCAAATTATGCATGCTGAACATTCTTTGATGCTCTTATTTTTTAACAGATTTGTGTGACTTATCGTCCATTACTTCGAATACAGACAATAACGTTTCTGATTCAGTGCCAGGCATATCAGTAGATTTAGAATATATGGTGGACCTGGAACCGAATGAATCTGACGTGGACAACCAAAATTCGCCCAATCAAATTAAGCAACCGAAAATATCCGTACGCTCAATTCTTGTTTGATTATTTTTATTTACTACTATTAACTTTCTCTGGACTCACTCGTTTTGTTTTGTAATGTTAAGGCAACAAAAAATGGAAACAATGGAGGAGGACGAAAGAAGGATGACGACATATGCATGCAATTTAGTATAAAAAAGGACAGTAATAGCAAAAGCGCAACCTGTAACAAATGTGGCGACTTCTTTAAGTGGGCCAAAGTGGAGAGGCTGAAGAAGCATTTGCAAACATGTGGAATTCAGGAACAACAATTGCCGAAACAAAATTAAAAAAATGCAAAACCTTCAGTAAATGATAATGATGTATCCGTAATCGAAGCGACAGGAAGCAAATCTGTGGAATTTCAGCAAAAACTCCCGACTATGTTTAAGAAAATAGCGAATGAACATCAAAAGATTGACAGTCAAGTAGCAAAATTTATTTTTGGATGCAATCTTCCCTTTTCCACAGCTGATAATCCAGAATTTGTGAAGCTTATGCAAAGATTAAGACCAAGCTATAAACCACCATCAGCAAAGACAATTGGTGGATCGCTGCTTAATAAAATTTATGAAGAAATTTGCGAAGACGCGAGGAAATCTGCCGAGACTAAATTCGCAACATTGATGCAGGACGGATGGAGCGCAATACAGCAGTCTCCAGTTATTTCTCACTGCCTCAGTATTGAAGCGAATGGTTCGATAATTGTCAACGCTGTCGCCACCACTACAGATACAAAGGACGCTGCATATTGTGCAACGCTTGCGATGGAAGCTCTTGAAGATGCCGAGGATAAATTCGGGTGTCAAATCGGGGCGGTAGGCACGGATAACTGCTCCACCATGATATTAATGCGAAAATTAATTTCACAAAAACGACCGGATCTTTGGACTTATGGATGCAATACTCATTACCTAAATCTCGTGGGAAAAGAAGTTGTTCCTGATGCTATGATGAAAACTGTTAAAAATGTGCAGCACTTTTTTCGAGATAAGCAATATCCGAGAGTCCTTAAAGAAATATCACGGTTTGCAACCTGTTCTTCCAGTAGGAACAAGATGGAACACGCAATACGACTGCTTGAAGAATTTTACAGCCAACCACTCAAAATATTTGGACATTTTGAAAGATGAAAAATGCAACGCCGGTCCCATAATCATCGAGAATCTGACTGATTTAAATTTTTACAAATCAACAACAATCCGTGAGTGAGTCAACAATGAAGAACATGGAACCTATTGTTCATGCAATCTCCAAAGTTAGTTACTTGCCTTGTTACTTTGTCACAACAATGTTTTCACTCTTATTTATTCTCAATTTTTTTAGCTTCAAAATGAACGATCGACAGTAAGTTACGCTGTTCACCAATGGATTAAAATTTCGGAAACATGTGGACTTGACGAAATAGCTCGGTGCAAATTTGAGGAGAGAATGGAATTGGCCCTGACCCCTGTAGTGTGTGCGGCCTATTTATTAGACCCATATTATCGAGGTATTATTCATCATTTAAAATTATAATTTGTATGTAAATACATGTCTAAAAACGTTAATCCCAGGACAACGGTTACCTGCCAAGTTCCGCGAGCAAGGTCAAGTCTGGCTTGCCAGCATAAATCCGCTCTTCCTTGGTGCTCAACTAAAGCTGGAAGTAAATGACGACACATTTTACGATCCTGGGTTAATGAAGAAAGAAACTCTTCGAGGTGATTTGGGTCTTTCAAGTTCTCAGTGGTGGGATTTAATGGGAACTTTGATGGGTAACAAATTGCCCACCGGATTTGCATCACTCGCTAGAAAACTAATGCTACTTCCTGCATCAACCAGCGCCATGGAGCGATGCTTCTCAACAATGGGGTCGATCATGACTGATACTAGAAGTAGAATTGGGATAGATAAGGCTAGTAAGCTATGTATGATTTACCGATCTCTTAACTCAGAGCGCCTAGCCAAGCGATCTAATGTGGAATGAAATTTTGTTCATGTATTTCACGTGCTTCACGGAAGTCATAATTAATTTTTTTCTTGTCACAAATTTCTGTTAAAGTATTAACTAAATACGAAAAATAAATAAATAAATATAATTTCGTTTGTTTTGTTTGTTCACGTATGTAAATATCGGCTAATCGCCCAGAATTCTAGAAAAACCCACAAAAACCCACAAAAACCCAAAAACCCACAAAAACCCCAAAAACCCCGGAAAAACCCGAGGGGTTGGGTTTTTGTAGAAAAACCCCGGGATTTTCCGAACCCTGATTGCAGCATGCGTGATTCCCTCCAAACCTGAACGACAAATCCGACCGGCCTTTCAAAAATTGGTTCCTTTCCACGGTACCATTTTTTTGTTGGATAATTTCTCTTCAAATACTCGTAGTAGGTGTCCCTCTCATCCGATGGTGCCATATATGCTGATCTCTCGCACTCCAGTATTTCCTCCTCAATCAAGCGATTTACTCCTTTGGCGTTTACGTACTTGTCTGAGAGGCTTAATTTATCAGGAAACCAGCGAATCCTTGGACTCATCATGTAATACAGTAATCGAAGTAAATGTGGTGGATACAGTGGATATAGGGAATGAGCGACATCATGGCAAATATTGTTGTAATAGTAATCGGTAAATTTGTAATTTCCTAAATTACCCGCCTTTCTCGAGGTCCATACGTATTCCGAGAAAATTGTGTAGCAGAATCCCCCTAAACTCTGCGCAACCTGGCGAATTGTAGTCATGTTGTCTAACGCGTTCATAAAATGCAGTTCATGACATTTATTGAAGACCATTTTTGAATTTACTATTGTTTCTTGTTTCTCTTGACAAAAAATTTGTTCATACGTATCACCCGGTTCCCCGGGTAGGGGTGAGTTTAGATTGGTTATGAAAATACTCCGGTAACACGTGCTTAGTAACATGCCGACGAGGAGCCAGGGAATACTTAAGAATCGGAAGGGTAGGAAATTTTCCAATTTTTTCGGCAGGTTGCTCACCTCGTCGATGAGGACACCGAAAAAATATAAGAATACTTTGAGCACATAAGATTCTTTTTTTAAAAAGAAAAACCCTAACGAAAGGGAAGAAGTTGACAATAGTAGCAGGATAACTGTGACGATCCACACGATTGGATCGTAAGGCGCAACATATATGGAAAATGAAACCCCTCTCGGGAACATGGAGCAAGAAAAAAATGAGAAGCTGAGAAAACTTGTGACGACAAGTTGGCTGCCATCCAGTAACCCGCGAAAAATGCGTTTGCTTGTGTGCTCGTAGGAATACGTCGGGTAGAAGCAGGGTTCGGAGAACCTCGCATAACAATTAACAATAAGACAATGTCGGGTGGCATTCAGTTTATTCAATGCCGTATCAAATAGGATTTTTGAGATTGGATCCTCTTTACAACGACCGATCCAATTTTGCTCCAATATTGACGGGTAGTTTAGCGGGGTGAATAAAATTGCATCTGTTTTTCAAGCTTTGATAGTGCAATCAAAATTTTGTAGGTTTGGAATAAAACTTTTCTGATAACAGGATGCCACCCTGTTTTCTGGGAGGAATAGTAGCACTGCAAATTTCACAGGAAGTAGCAGGTCAATCTGGGTGGGATGTGTGTACAAACTGGATCTGTGTGACTCCAATATTTTGGGGTTATTCAAAATTAGGATAAAATAAAAAGCATCGGGATAAACCTTACGCAACTGGTTTTCTAGTCTGAGATAGTATCTGCTTTGAGTAATAATCCAATATCCTAACGATTTTTCGTGGGATTTTGTATACTTTGGTGAATTTATGGTGACAAATAAGATAACGATTTCGCAAATCCAGCCTGGATTTTGAAGGATATTGAGTTGTGAGGAGATATTGGTTCGTCGGCTTAGGCTCAGCCGAGCAAAAGAATTGTCTGGAAAGGTTCGTTTTGTCAGTGTTACTGGAACTTGACGGGTGGTTGGTAAGTCTGACGTGGAGATATTGTTGAAGACGAGGTGATGTCGGCAAGGTGGGTGGGGTGATAGAACAGATGCCAAATTTATATTCGGTAATGCTATCTTTGGTTCGACAAAATGTATAGTGTACGACAACACCAGTAACGTCAAGCGGGGATGATTTGATTTGGTCATTGTTCGCGGTTCTACAATTATTAGGAGGATTCAATTACAAACATCAAAATGTATCGAGAATAAATGCAAAAGTTATTATGCATAACACGGCATTTAGTAAAACCCATGTACATAAATTGCTCAAGAAATTAAAATGCTAAGATGAAAAAACTGGTCCTGTATAGGCGGCTGAAATAAGTTCGATGAAAGTAACAGGGTGGCTACACAGTTAAAAATCTCCTAAAGTAACACTATGGATTTGGTAATAACTTCCTAACGGATTGGCATTGTTTGTTACTGAGTGGTTATTTTTCACTACCACCACAACAATACTACGTGTTTACACATATTTATATGTAATGTGCGTTATTACAGTGCCAGCGAAGTTGACTATATATTCCGGCCGTTACTTGTTTAGTACCATTTTGGAAAGAGTGTTAATACAAAATTCTCAGACAAGTTGAATAAGCGTATCACTACCGATAAGGCCTGACCATTTGATATGGCATCGAAAGGAGAAATTTGTAAGATATAAATATCGTCTGCGGTATCGTTTTTGACTCCGTGCCAAGTAAATGCTATGGAACAACGTATGTACATACATAGGTAAGTACTAAGCAATGTATATGTTTATGTATGTGTAGCAGATATGTCACTTGCGTTTATTTACAGGCCGGGTGGACAGTCCCCTGAAAATATTTTAGGCTAGTACAATATACCCAGGCATGTATGTACATATTCTAATTAGCATAATAGCATGGCGTTTAACCAAAACCATATCGAAAAATTAGCTGGAACTTTCCACCGAATTTAGCTCTGCTAAAAGCTTAACGTGCGATATCAGTAGGATTGAAAATAGTGTTCGCGCCTAGTAGACTTGAATAATTTATTGAAGGAACCTATTTGATGAAAGGGCAGTAAAGCTGAATTTGAACATGAAGGTTCTTTAATAGATGAATGACAAATAAGAGTTTACGTATGCGAATATAATGAAAAGTATATTTTGAAAGGGGTTACAAATATTTAGAAATGGTATATAAGTTTTATACAGATCAGTGCCCAGTATCTAACAGGGCGTTTAATGGGTCATGAGTTTCTACTACATTTTTTAGGATGAAAATACTGCTCCTGAAGATACTGTAAAGTGTATATGCATGAAGCATTTGTGCACGCATATTTCGGTACAAAATTGATATGCTTCCCAGATAACAGGTCGCTATGAATTCGCTTAGAGAATTCGCAGAGAATGTCGCGTTAAAACAGAGAACTCGAATTCTCTCAGATTTCGTTATTATTCTCGTATCGAATTCGCATCGAATTCGGTAATTATTCGTATCTAAATTCGATATTACGCTCATTTCAGAATTCGTAATGAATTAGACTCGAATTCTCAGAGAATTCTTCTATCGAATTCGAAACGACTTCACTATGAATTCTTAAAGGAATTCGCTGTTATTGTAGTGAGGAATTCTCCCCGATTTCGATAGGGATTCTTCTTACAGGAATAGGAGACTATAAACTGTTCGCCTTGAATCTCGAATTCGTAAATAATTCTTAGAGAATTTACTGTGATTTCTCTCTTTCACGCTGTTATTGTATTTTTAAGTAATTTTAGCTGCCACATTCAAATCTATCCTCATGGGAAGGAGACGACTTTTTCAGTTGAGTGCTCGCTACAAAAGAAGACTTGTAAAAACACCAAGTGAAATTTTCGAGGAAAATTTAAATAGTGACCTAGTCCAGGCCGAAAGGGAAAACATTTATTCAGAACAAGTGTTCGAGGAAGATCTGGAAGAAATTGAAGTCGGAAGTAAGTTCAGCTGAAACTACTAGCTCAGAAAGTGAAGGTGAAATTGATACTTTTGATATTAGACATAGTATCCAAAATTGATCCCTTGAATTTAAAATTCCTCATAATGCAATCTTATGCAACACTCTAAAAGATTTTAAAAATATGTTAATCTCAGATGCGGTAGCAGCTCACCCTAGGACTCCAAATCATACAGACGAGGGCACAGTTGACGAAGAAATACAAAAATCTCTTAAGAAAGTCGCAGATAGAGTTGGGAAGCGTATGAGGTACAAATATATACTATCGATAATAACTGTTGCAAAAGATTTTGGGAATAACATTAGTATATTTTCAATAGGAAGTGACTTAACATCGCGGCCACTTTCACTACCAGGGTCATCTGATTATTCAACTTATGTCTATTTTAATAGAAACAGTTATGTATATTACATAATATTTAGAATAAATAAAATAAACTATAAGCTGGATTAACTCGAAATATAGGAGAAATCGTATCGATTTATTACTTAATTCGCAGTGAATTCGTATAGAAGTCGCATTAAATTCGTGGAGAAGTCGCATTGAATTCGTTTAGAAATCGTTATAAACTCTTACATGTTCATCGAATTCAAGACGAAATCGCGAAGACTTACCGGCGAAATCGATATACGATTCTCCATCGATTCCCTGTCGAATCGGCGGACATTTCCCTTCGATATCTCCTCGAATTTATCTCGAAAGTTGGAAATTCGAGGCGAATTCGATATCGATATCAAAGCGAATGTAATATCGAAACATAAGAGAATTCAGAGCGAATTGTTATCTGGGTTGACACTTGCGTGTTGCCAAATTATTTAAATCTACACGATTTTACTTCGAAGCTTAAAGCTTCAAAACTTTCCGACCCCGAGTTGAAATTTTACAATAATAGACTAACTATGCACATTTAGCGAGCAAATTGAAATTCTGATACACGTTTGGATTGCGCACAATAAAAAAATCTCCGGTTTCACTTTTGTTTAATAATTTATTTGCAACGCAAAAAAATAATGTTCACAAATATAATATGTAACTGAATGTTTGTATACATTTGTGAGCGAGTATGAAAAAAGTTAGCCAACCGAATTTACAAATCAAATGAGCAAGTATTAATTTGTTCCTAACATTCAAATGACTCGTGTTCGTAAAATGATAAATTGACAATTTCATTTGATTTTAATGTGTCCCCAAATAGATAAAAATCTACGTAATTTTTGGTGGGCAAAGGTGTTTTTGAGTCAAAATGTACCAAAATAAAAATACATTTTTTTGGTGTTATTTTATAATAACGAAGTTTAAAAAATGAAAAAAGGAGACATCTTCTAATTTGCCCCTACCTTAGTGTGCACAAATGATTTATGAGTGCACAAAACCGGAAGCCAAATAGGGTACCCTATAATTTTAGACATAGGCTTTCACATACATAAAAACGTTAGAAATCTGTCCAACCAAAAACCATCGCATAATTAAGTTAGAAGTAATTCGTGCAACCCATCTCTGGATACCTTTTGTATTTGACATATAAAGATATATGGCAGAGTCGGCGGAATGTAATTTTCACTGCTACAAACAGTGGCAAACATTTCCTGGCTTTTCGTCCCGACCTTCTACAATATGCAACTTGGCTGGATTATCGTCTTGGCTGAATTTCTTGGTTCTCGATCGCAGGTGTGAAACCTTGAACAGGGAAAAGATATGTACATACATATGTCAGATATTTATGTGATGATAGTTGTATAAAATTTTCCTATTATTAAAACCTTTACCCGTGTACATGTCCTAAATACCCCGGAGTATTTAAGTCCAAACTGTATGACTAATCCTAAGGTCCATGAGTTGAATTCCCCCGCCCACCATTTGTCGAAACACTCGTCATTCTCGAACTTCCACAAATGAATACATGCATAATTTGTGGCAGTTCGAGAATGGCAGATGTCTCACCATTCTTTACGGCGGTTTGAAGGTTGGTGTCGGGGAGATGGTTGTATGTAGCGAGGATGATGATGAGCTTCATGGTGATGAGGTAAGCATTGTAATACTCGAGAAAGTGCTTATCCAAATGTCGACTTGTTGTCTTTTTATATGCGACTACCCTATTCGTTAAGTAAATAGAATTTTCCCATTTGATAAAATTATAATTTTATCAAATGATGATTAAGGAATTTCCTGAATTATATAAGTTTATAAACTCCATCATTTCCCGAGTTTCCGTAAGCCATTGGGTTAAGGTAGTATATGAATCAGTATATTGCTTTGTTTTATGAGGGGCGGAGGTCTTATTATTATGGTGCAATATTTTAAATCACTACGTGCAATAGCTGATGAGATTGATGCTAATCAATTTACAGATTCTGAATTTCCCAAGATGTGAGAGTGCAAAACCTGATAATTTCATAAGGCAACGTTTAATATTCGAGAAGATGTCGAGTAGTCGTCCTTGTATACATATGTATGATACCAGTTTATTTTATAAGTGAAATCAATTTCCCCAATTGATAAGGTTAAGTTTATATGACTTTTTCGTCATGGAAATTCCTTCCGCATCATTTTCCGGAGTTTCCGTCAGTTGGTGAACGTAGGAAATGTTTGTATAGATGTGTCATCATTTCGGTGCAAAATTTACTGCATGCAATGGCAGAAGAGGTTGATGCTAATCTGATGACAGATTCAAAATCCCCAAGATTTCAAAGGACAAAACATGATAATTTATAGGACAAGGTTAATCCAATGGGGAATATGTTTTGTTATATCACAGTGGGTAAATTTTGGTATGAAAGGAAAACCAGTGTATGCATTTATAATAGTTTGTTATAAACAATAATAGTTTATTACCTCATACATACGTAGTTTATTGCGTAATTGGTTATTACAAATACATAGATAAGCACTACACCCTATTTTGCTGCTGTAGTTCATGATTACTCACATTTATACCTGTGGGTTGATAGTTGCAATCCAGATATTTTCTTTTGCCACTTGGAATAATTATTTGTGAATTTCTTGAGTATATAAAGCAAGGCGTGCACTTAATTAGTTATAATTACATAAGTAGATACGTCTTAAACAAATCTTTGGTTGGAACATATCATAAAACTTGGATATTCTTATATCAATATCAACAATGACGATGTTGATAGCTTCGTAACAAATTTATTACCTCAGTCACAATTTAGCATAAATGCAAGGGATGATTGTCTTGCGTAAAAGTGCTTCCCCCCTGGACAAAAATGTGCGAAAGATAAGATTGCAAAAATATGACGCATACATACGACAAACTATCTAAATACATACGTTAATCCACATTTCACATTTCTAGTTAAAGACGTGTTAAAGAATTCCTGGGTATACCCAGTTGCAACTAAATATTACAACGAACGAAATGTACAAAGGAGGAGATCTCAGGTTTACGAACCCCTCAGAAAATGGGAACTCAGGCTTAAAAAACTCGACGCCATTCTACTTATGAATCAAATTACTAATGTGTCGTCCAGACTTCTAAAATAAAGTCCCAGGGTGGAGAAATGATTCTTTTAATGTACTTAAAAATAAATTTATATTTATTTCTTGAAATCATTTTACAATGCCAGTTACAGTATTTTGTCGATTTTGAATGGCGATGATTCATCGAGTCCATCACGTTAAGTACACAGATTGTGCTGGCACATTGGTCAACAGAAACGTTTATGGACGAGTATGCATTTTTCACCCGTTTTTATGTATATACATACATACATAGGTACGTGAATATTTCTCCAGCATATCCATATCTTCTTATTCCCTCCTCTCTTTGGGGATTCACATTTAAAAGGCTGTATCAGTTAACTTCTAAATACATACTTACTTATTACATACAACATAAGTACATATGCATGTTAAGAGTATATTTAATTATTTTGTCGAACCCATCCCTTCTTTGCATGTCTTCATTTCGAGAAGGAAAAAATTTCTTCCGGTGATGATTCATCTCTCCACCATTCTTCAGGCTGGACAAAAGCTACTCAATTGCAAGTTCTTTAACGCAGAAAATCCTCCTTGAAAATTATTGGATTTTTGAAGGATAAATATTTATTTTGCAGTTTTGGAAAAGGTAGTGAGTTCGTTTACTTTATAATAATTTGCATATTTTAAGTAGAAAGTAGTCGTAAAAATTTAGTAAACTAGAATTAGAGACGATTCACTTTACGAAAAATCCTCTAGCAACTGGGAAAGTTTAATTGAACTAAATAAATTTGCAAGCTTTTACATATCTACATTCAATAAAAGCATGGATGGTTAGCGGTTAGATTAATTTCTTATTAGTGTAGGACTAAAAAAATAGTCTAAATTAGCAGGTTTTTAAAAATAATGTCTCCGCTCTGGGCATTTGTTTATGAATTCTGTGAATTAAATTACTGACTATAAATTTGTCCCGAATTTTAAAATAAATTCCTAGAGCCGAGATATTATTTTAAAATGTGCCTATTGTTACGATTTTGCATGACCATGAATCATAGATTCCTACATACGTTCCGCGTATTCATACTGCCAAGTTATTAGGTGGTAGAAAGTTTTTGGAAATACTAATATGCGTTATATATTTAGCACATATACATTTCCACCCGTTTTTATGGATGTCTTTGTGTGATATACATATGTCCAGAAAAGCAATATCTTCTATTTCGCTCTCTTCGGGGTTTCTCATTCACATAATAAGCTGCATTAAATCTATACACATTTTTACTTATCCTTCATACGTTAAGAGCATGTTTATTCGAACCCTCCAGCAACCGCATCTCTTCCCTGCGTGCCTTCATTTACGTCATTTTCTAGAAGGCAGATTTTTCCAGTGATTGATGATTCATCTCGCCACCATTTGTAAGGCTGGACAGAAGTTGAGCATTGTACTTACGTGGAAGACGTCAACTATTCAAGTTCTTCAACGGAACAAATTTTCCTTGGAAATTATACAAAATTTATTTTGCAGTTTTAAAAAACGGTAGTAAGTAATTTTTTCCTTTCTTATAATTTACATATTTTAATTAGTAAAGAATTAGACAAAGTAAAATCATAACATGACTCCAAAAGCTCAACACGAAAGTGAATGGCGAACTTGGTCAATATTGTTAAAAAATTTTAATGTAGATTCTCTTATTTTAGGGAGTGTTGATTATTTAGGATTTTCCACAAATTAATGAGAATCTATTTTTTCGCAATTTTGACTTATATAAGTTTATGGACTAGTTTATGTTACTTATGTTTCTACGTGTGTATTTTACAATAATGTGAAATAATGTCAGTTACACATGCAGTATTAGATACTAGAGAAATTTTTCAAAACAATATTACAACATGGTTAATAAACAAAATTAAAAAAATGTCCACATATAAAATTACAATTACAACTTAACAAAGGGAATTTTTTAAATGTAAGCCCTTGCTTGTTTTATGTAGATTTTCAAGCGAGGATTCTGAGAATGGCTGGGTGCTTGACGAAATCAAGTCACGGATTGACAAGTAAGAACCTTAATACTGTTTTATTACCAATTTCCAGAATTATGCAAAATCACTTTAACCCATAAACCTTAATTGTGTATTTTTTAATTTAGAAGTGCTATGGATATTTCTTCTCGTCTTGTCTGCGGTATCTGAACATCCAAAACCCTTCGTGATCATGAAGTCTTCAATTGATAACGTCCCCGAAATTTCCACCGGTATAAATGTTCCACAATCTCAGATTCCCACGTTTCACGGACCACTTATCAACCCTGCCTGGCAGACTGTCCCTCCAAGTACCCCCTCCAAGTCTCTGAATTCGTACACAGCATCTAAACCCTTATCAGTTAATAAACCATGCTGGTGTACTACTCCCTTACCTCAATCCTGCTTACATACGTTTCCCTCCCCGGATGCTGACCACCCTCAAACAACTAACGTTACCCGAACAACCTCGCCCACACGTGATGACCTTGCAAGATTTGATAGAATATTGGAAGAAATGTGTAATAGTCCCGCACTTTTGATTGCGTACTATTATACTCTCGGAAATCGCGCCTCAATTCCCAACGGGGCCACCCCTGTCTGGATGGGCAGTTGGACAGGGTTTTACTTGTTTTTGGGTGCAATTCATTGGGCAATTTGAATCTAGTTCACCAAGTATTTAAACAAACTACAAAACCAGTTAAATACATAGACTAGCAAAGTGTGAAGTAAATATAAAAGTTGAATAATTACTTGTTAGGATTAATTGTTTACAAGTTATTTGAATTATTGCTTGGCTAAAACTTTAAAAAAATTGGGCTGCTTATCTATGTACATACTTATTTGCTTATTTGCATGTGGGGAGAAAATAGCATTCTGCAAGAAATTTTTACAATTTGGGAAGATTCAAATGACAAAAAAACTTTGCAAGGGAGTTCAATTATTATTGCCATGATAAAGATAATTGATAGTACAAGTAAATTATTTCTAAATTATTTATGAAAAGTATGTATATGAAATGAGTTTCACTAGCTTACGCACCCAGGTGATTTTTTTTGTTAAATACGTTCAACAAAATCGTATACATACATACGTGCAATCAAAGCTTATTATTGAATTGGGTCTTTTACTTTGATGGATGATAAAATGATAATGGATAGCTTTTTATACAATAAACCTAAAAACTTATGAGAAAATTTTATGTTTACGAATTTAATTTTGTGTTTGCAAAAATTCTTTCATTACCACGACATTACTAAACGGTAATGCCTGTTACTACGCTGCAATTTAAAAAGACTTGTACACTCAAAATAAGGTAGTAATGAATCATTACCATGAGGAATCACTATGTGTCTCTACCACGTCGGTTACTATTTGTCGTAGAAATGGTAATAATAAGTTCAGGGAAATTCAAATTCATTACCAATTTTAAGGAAGTGAATACCATTATGTATTAAATTTGAATTTCCCTGAACTTATTATTACCACTTCTACGACAAATCGTAACCGACGTGGTAGAGACACATAGTGATTCCGCATGGTAATGATTCATTACTACCTTATTTTGAGTGTAGGCTTATGTACATACGTGAGAATGGATCGAGATAATCGAAATCTGCTTGGGGCATCATATGTACATAAATTCATGAGACCCCAATAGAATGAGCTCCAATCAACTTTTTAGGTCAATCGGACCACCCCGCTAACGGTGTGGTCGCGAAAAATGAGATTTTTGTTGAAATGGATAGTTTTAGACATTTTTATTTTGTTTATTTTTGTTTTGTTTCCCCGTTTCCGGGGCGAGGCAGAGGTGAGAGACTGAAGCTAAATACTTTTTTATGTGCGTTTGCAACTTTGTATTTTTAGTGAAACCCATAACAACAGACTAAAAAATTAAAACTTTTGGAAAAATTCAGCGATTTGCTGGGCTTTCAGGTCGTAAAAACTCTAACGAAATGGTTACACAGTTTGCATGAGGAACTGCACTATCATTAAACGTTAGTAACTCTATTCACGCAAGACGTGTATTCAATTCGAGTGAAAGTTCTCAACTTTCACTTTTATGCAAATGCCTACAGGAAAGCTTTATTTTAATATATGTTGTAATTAAAGTAGTTATTCTGGGAAGGTATAACCCGGAAATTTTGCTAAATTGGTATTATTTAGTGCTTAGTGAATCATAAGTTTGTTAGTTGCATTAAAATAAATATAATTTCTTAGCCGCTGCCTATTTGCGTTGTGGTCAGTGTCGCATGTATGTACATATGTAGCACAGACTCCAAAATGGTTATTTTTTTGTTCAAAAATATTAAGGGTTGAATCCTACCATGTATATACGTATATATTCTTTTTATATTCTTTTTATATATATTCGATTTCGACATGAAATATCTAGAGCATCCCGCTCGATTCCAAGGAACCTTTGTAGGATTATATAGTACTCGAGGGGGTAAATCAGACAGCACCAAGTTCACTTCCCCATGCGTCCCACTTAGGGTAGGGGGTGTGGTCGAAAAAGCCCCAAAACGCCTGTTTTACAACCTTCAAATGCATGAACCGCCCGAACCATGCGAGCTAAAATTCTGAAATTTGGTATTTAACATCAGCGATAGTTGCTTAACAATATTCAGGGGTCAGTCTCAACTTACCCCCCCAGGGGGGGTGGTTCGCCCCCCTGGGGGTGTGACCTCACAAAAAAAATTAGGCGCATTCCCTAAGTCACTCTGGTCAAGAATATATATATACATGGTAGGATGCAACCCTTAATATTTTTGAACAAAAAAATAACCATTTTGGAGTCTGTGATATAGTAGCTATGTACATACGTACATACATGCAGATCTATATATGTATGCACATAGTGAAAATGGTATGGTATTATATCCACACCTACAGGGTGTAAATTTAATCCGGTAACCTTCATTTTGCGGCCCCCCAATCGATACAAAGTCAGCTATAATTTTTGGTCCCGTTCATGTTTTTCTTTTAAATTTTTACAAGTGGAATGAAAGTAAGAGCTAATAATAAACACCATACTATTGAGATGTTGAAATACGCACCAAAAGTGCAGAATAATGAACTATTTATCTTGACCGGTGGTCGACAAAGTCGAAATTATGCCAAATATGGGTAAATTTTGCCCCTTATTTGGCGTAAAATTACAGCAAAATTATACATCTACATTTTCCTTTTACTCTGCAAAATTGTTGCAAAAATTTTCGTCACAGGGCGAGCAACTTCTATAACGTTGCAATGGTTTATTCCATTATCTGTTGCTTTTTCGAGGTAAGATAATTACCCATTTCTCGATTATTGCGCCGTACATTAATTCCACACCGCATTTTCTTGAGGCGCCTGCATTTCTGCACAATTTTAATAAATCGCGTCCACATTAGGCTAACACTATTCGCGATATTAGCCCTATTGAATTTCGTATACTCGATGACCAAACAGAAACATGCCGCTAGAGAGGTGGCGAGTAGAATGAAAATGGTTTGAATACTGTCACCTAGTCTGACCACCTGAAATGAGGTGGCTGCATGGCGAAATTTCTCACCTCTTAATTTGGCCTCCCTTTCGCGAAGTATTGTCACGTTCAAGCTAACCTGATGAGACACCTGGTTGTAAATCCCTGAGCTCAGAAACGCTTTAAAATATCGGAGCATGCCTGATTCCCGCCAAACCTGAAGTACAAAATCCCACCGGCCTATCAAAAATTGTTTTCTCTCCGCGATACCATTTTTTCCTGGGATAATTTCGCTTCATTAGCTCATAGTAAGTGTCCACCTCATTCGACGGTCCCATGTATGCTGATCTGTCACACTGCAATATTTCCTCCTCAATCACCCGATTTACTCTGTTGGAGGTAGCATTAGCTTCTAAAAGATCCAATTTCTTCGTGTGCCAACGAATCCTTGGACTCGTCATGGAATACAGTAATCGAAGTAGGTCTGTGTGATATAGCTTATGAGCGTCGTTTATACAAACATTGGTATAATAGTATGCTGAAAACTTATAAGCTTGAACAGAATTCTTTAACCTCCAGCCTGGAATATCCCTCAATAACCTGATGCGCCATTGATATGAGAATAATATTTTGCACGTTCGTGGTCGTGCTATCCGGAGATAAAAATTTTAATGGGTTCCCAGACTGTATAAAAGACCGAGATGAAATCACTCTATTTTGCACAATGAGTACATATTCACATACTTTAAAAAATGGTTTCTATAAAGTTCCTGGTCATGATCGGAGTGATAACGGCGCTGTGTCAGGTCAGCGCTACGCCCCTCCCGCTGCCGCAGAGTTACACTGATCAGGCGCTCTACTACCCGTACATCGGATGGTGGGGACTTCAAGGATCTGTAGGTTTAAGTTGTTATCATTAATTAAAATTTATTATACATCAGCACAGTTGAAATACCAGTGTCATGCCTGTTTAATAAAATCTTGTAGCGATGTTATTTACCGTGTACGTATATAATTTTTTTAGATATTGAATGCAAGCCTGCAACAACAAGTGTTGACAATTAATCCGAGAATATATTTCTTTTTCAGGCATCTGGAGCTGACCAAGATAATGACGCGGACTTTTTCGAGCGTAATCGTAGGTTTGGATATTCTTCCGTTCTAGGCTGAAGGCTGGAATGAGGAGAAAATAAATTTAGATTTTGGCTGGAAGACTTGCTAAGCACTCTTGGTTACTAAAAATTACGTGAATTGTTACCTATTACGGTACAAAATCGAACGAAATTTTCATTTTATCATTCTACGAATACTACTGCGAATGCGAATTATTTTTTTCCATACTCGCTCACAAAGAAGTACTTACATATAAACATTCGATGACGTATTATATTTTTGAGGATCATTTGTTTGCGTCAAATATTTGTTATGTCATAAATTATTAAATACAAGAACACTTTTGTGAACTACGTGTGCATACAAAGTTCATATAGTTTTACAATAAGTGAAATGAGTTTTGTTTCCAATTTTAATAGATAAGTATTTCCCTCTTATTTTATTCTGCTAATTACTTTTGCATCCTCAATTTTAGCCAATCCAATAACCGGATTAATATCACACGCAAATGAAAATGACAATAAAAATAATATTAATGTCCACATATACTCAGACACAACCATACATATATATATATACATAGGCAAATGTTCGTTATTTTCCTGAGCAGTTATCCCTCAGACCCACAAAAACGCATCTCTGCTGCATGTGTAATAAAGCATCTCCACTACCTTAGTATATTATAGTTAACTATTATATTTATTTCAAAAATTCGCTCAGTGATTAAGAAAAGAGGTTTGCGGAACAATTTTAGACATCCAAAAAAATGGTGCAACCAAATAATTTAGACGCAAGTTTACTCGTTTCTTATTATACTGCGAATTATTTAATTTTTATAAAACCTACGGCTGCATTAGCTGACATAAATTTGTCATCTGTTCTCACAACCCACACCAGTTGTTGGTATCATCTCATCTTCAACAATATTTCCACTTCCGATCTGCCAACTACCCGTAATGTCCCTCTAACTCTGACCAAACGAACGTTTCCCTACGATCGTATTCCGTTGCCCACACCAACCAATATCCCTTCACAACTTTATATTCTCCAAAACAGAGGCTGGCTGTGCGAAATTGTCATTTTCTTGGTCTCCATAAATGCGACAAATTATACAAAATCGCACCAAGAATCTTTAGGATATTGGATTATAACTCAGACCAAATACTATCTCAGACTAAATGATGAAGATCATTTGACTCAGGTTTACCCTGATTTTTTTTATGTTATCTTAATTCCACGTAGCTATAAATTATTTGAATCAAACACGAATTCCCCACAGTACGTACAACCTGCCCCGTACGACCAGCTACTACCGGTGAAATTTTCAGTGTTATTATTTCTCCCTGATAACTGGGTGACATTCTGTTACCAAAAGAGTATTCCCATCCTACAAAAATTCGTCTGTTCTAAGGTTACAACTACTAGTAAAGACACAATCTTATTAACCCGCTTAAACTACCCGACAGAATTGGAGCAGCATTGGGTCTACAAATCTGAAAATCATCCCATCTCAGCAGTTTTATTTACTACGGCGCTAAATAAACTTAATGCAACCCGATATTTCCTAAATGGTACCGAGTGCTACCCGGTTCTCACGGAGGCCTGCTTTTACCCGGT